AAGCTCATTATTTGTTTTTTGGTGGATTCGTGTTACTAAGTCTTCAGCGGCTTTATTGGTTTCTGGTGGTATTTCGTGTTACTAAGTCTTTCAAGCTCTTTATTGTTTTCTGGTGGTATTTCGTGTTACTAAGTCTTATCTTTATTGGTTTTCTGGTGATATTTTCTGTTACTAAGTCTTCAAGCTCATTATTGGTTTTTTGTTGCTGTTTCATGCTACTAATCTGTAGGCGACTGAGCATTTATTCAATAAATATTATTTGGTGTCTTCCACAAGTCCTTTCATGTAGGTTTACTGTAATACTTTTGTTACCTTTGAGCATCTTCTAGAAACACTTCAGATACTTTCTCTGCCTTTAAGACACCATTAAAATATCATTAAAATGGAATATCCATACCATATAGGCTTAATACAGACTCCCAATTTAGAGAAAGAAATTATGATACAGCAATTAAAATCATGAAACCTGGTTTTCATGACATCATGAGGACCGGTTTTCAAGTAAGAAAAACATGGGTTTTCATTGCTCCTTGTCTTGCTCTGTGATGAAAACAAATTGATTCTCATTGACCTACCTGTCTGTTTTTGTGCCAATATCATGCTGTTTTTGCTGTTATGACTCTATACTATAGTTTGAAGGCAGAAATTGTGATAACTTCAGATTGCTTCTTTTGCTCAGGATTGGGGTCCTTTTTGTTTTCATATGAATTTTATGATTTTTTAATCTTTCTGTGAAGAATGCCATTGAAATTTTGATGGGAATTGCATTGAATTCTATATTACTCTTTGCTGTATGGCTATTTTAACAATATTTATTCTGCTGATCCATGAACATAAGAGGTCTTTCTGTCTTTCTAGTGTCTCCTACAATTTCTTCATTGATTTATAGTTTTCATTGTAGAGGTCTTTAATATCTTCAAGTAAGTTTATTTTGTTGTGGATATTGTGAATGGGATTATTGAATTCTTTTTCAGCAACTTCATTATGTAGTATGGAAAAAGGTAATTATTTTTTAGTATTGATTTTTTGTCCTAACTACTTTGCTGACAGTGTTAATCACATCTAAGTGTCTTTTGGTGGAGTCTTAGGCCTTTTATATGTATGATCACATTCATCTGCAATTAGGGATATTTGACTTCCCCTTTCTTATTTATATCCTTTTATTTCTTTCTCTTGCTTTATTGCTTTCACTAGATTTCAAACACTGAAGTAAGATTGATGAAGTGGATACCCTTGTCTAATCCTGATTTTAGAGGCTACTTCTTAAATGAGGTTCTGTTTATTTCATTTATAAAATTTGGTTGATGTTGAAGATTGAGTCTCTTTAAATAAATCAGTTTTAAAAATATCTGGATTAAGGGTGCTGAAGGGGGCAGAGCTTTACCATTCATTTTTTAATACATAGAATGAATCTAAAATATCTATTTAAAGAAGGAATGAACAGAACCTACTTTACTTATATTTTAAATGGTGTAACTTCACTATAGAGAGAGATAGGAATAGCAAAACATGGTCGATTAATATACTATTATGGGGAGATTTTTGGACAGAGTTACAATTACTATTTCAAGTTTTTAAAAAGTCTTCTTATCCACTATGGTAGATTGAGAACTAGTACCAACAAAACATGGTCATTTTTTGGGCACAACTTTTTATACTCAAAACTCTTCCTTTGGTACAAAATTATAGCTGGAATTTGTGGGTACTTAAAGTGAAAAAGAACTCTGTTTATTCTTTATTGTTTTCTACCACAAAAGAAAGCAAAAATTAATTAAGGGTTAAATTGAAAACAATAGGCATATTACATTTTTGAGTTGAGTAAGTAAAGGACAGTGCTTATGTACTGTAAAATGTCTGGCTCTGGGGAATATTCTGGATGAATATGTACTCATATTGGTGAGAAAAAAATTAAAGCAATATTTTTACTGAGTAAGTTAAAATTTACTGGAGTAACTCATTTTTTCTTTTGTGCTATTTTATAATTCTTTTTGAAAATTATATATTATTTATTTCTCTCATAAATCATAAAATGTTTAGTCAGATAACCATGTCTATGCATTTTATAAAATGTCTTCTGAATAAAATCACGTAATTTATGATTTTTTTTTTCTTTTTGGGGGAAGGGAATGTTTGAGCCAGGATCTCACTGTGTAGGCCAGGTTGATCTGTAACTTCAGATCCTCCTTTCTCTTCCTCAGGAGTGCTAGAATTACAGGAAGGAACCACTGAGCATGGAAAGTTGTTTTTTATTTTTAAATGCAAGTATATTCTTCATCATTTGTGATGAACAATGCTACTATTTTAAAAGACATTGATTTTGCTTTTAAAAACCACAATTACCTTAATTATATACTGCTTTCCTGTTCTCTGACTCTTATCACGATCTGGACAAAAGTAGAATATACTGAGAACACATTCAAAACCATACCAAAACAAAATGAAATAATATAAAATAAAAGTAAGACAAAGTGCATTAAAAATAATATAAATAAGACAAACTCTGGATTAGCTACTGGAATTGCAAGCATATTGTCTCAAAGAAATAACCTGTCTTTCTCTGGATATCCTTGTGAATTATAACTTTAAAGAGGCAGTAAATATAACATCTGGTAGAATGACAAAACATGAGTTTGAAAGCATCATGATTTTTCTCTGAAAACTTAGGAAAGCATATTTCACTTGGTAAAACCAAAGTTGAAATCCTAAACTAAAATTCATTTGAAAAATTCTAAAAGAATGCAAGACAAAAATTAAATCAATACAATTTAAAAATTAAACCTAAACTGATTAAGCCAATTCTCCAATCTTAATTTCAGAGTGAATTCTACACATGGTTAAGACAGGTATTCTTACTAAAAAAGTATATAATGATATTGATGATAACAAAATAATGATAATGATGGTGATTAATATCTTTTATTGAATGCTTACCATGAGCTAACTGTATTATATCACAGAAGATCTTTCTAGGTTCCACCGAACAATCAATCTCATACTATCAAACCTATGTTTAGTATCAAAGTGACTTAGAGAAATGTATGATGGGAAACATACATCTCAGTAGGACAACATTGGAAATTTTTCTTTTGGGAAGAAGACCTGAAAGCAGTCAATGGGCAAGACTCTGTCATTTGAAATCATAGAACTATGAGGGCATGATTTATACAAGGGAGTGCAGAGTCCACTTTGACTTGGAACTTTCAAAACCCAGTAAGAGCCAATATCTCTTGTAATCGTTTCATGGGCATCCATAGCTTCCAGAATTTCCTGCAAAAGACAGACGAAGTTATAAAAGTGTTTGAAGTGATAGTTTCTCTGTGAGCATTTTAACACATTTATTATCCTCCCAGTCAGAGGACATTTACTAGGTTTCTAAGGGACCATAACTAGAAGTTGGCCATAGTTCAGATTTATTCAGAGAAAGAGAAAAGAGTTTGTTGACCCTTTGCTCACACATACATTATTTATTTAATAGCCACAAGAAGCATATGATGATATGACTTTCCTTATAAAAGGTAGAAACCCAGAACATAAAAGTGGCATTCCTCACCTATGATCATATAATTTGTGAGCGTTAATGCCAGGATCAAACTGAAGTTTGTTTGTTCTAGGCTCTGAACACTTAACCATAAACTCCATGCCTTCCATTACTATATGAAAAGAGAAAAGAATGTAATGTAAACTGAACTATATTCAGAGAATTTTCTAACATTATTCAGAAATTTTATAAAAGTAGACCAACATACTATTTTGGTGTTAGACTATTTTTTTTGGTTATTTTATTTTAGATACTAGAAAACTCAAAACATTGAATAAATAGTATTACTTAATAAGCAATCATCTCTCTCCCCAAGACTGGCTCAGAATAGGTAAAGGTACACTGACAATTTCTGTTTATTCAAATTTGTTCAATTTCATACCCTTTTTCTCTTTCATATATTCCACATCTAAGTAACCACTGAAAATTGTTCAATTTGCAGGACCTTGAGTAAATGAGCCTTGAGTCTGCATGTAACAACATCTTTGAACAATTCAAGCAATTTTCCAGAACTCAAGGGAATTTGGTAGAATATCTATGATACAGGCTATGAACTTAAGGCATTCTACTCACTACAGAGATATCTTCATCTTATTTCTGGTTCTCTAATCTTCTCTCTTACAAGGACATTTTTATTCTTCTAGTCTTTTGCCCAAGAACAAATTTCAAAATATTTGATGAATGATATGGCACAGGCACCAACTGGTTGAAGTAGAAGCTGGCTACAGTACTGAAGAAACTTCTGTACAGAAGTTTCCGAACACATTTTACCTATTGTCTGGTCATCATCCATCATTTCAACAAGCTTCATACCTCTTTGAGGTTCAAAGAAGAGAGGTGAATAGGTCATTTAGTTATATTTCTTGTATATATGATTGAATACCAACATTGAATCTCTTAGTTACGACTTTCAGTAGAAATGAGATCTGTATAGTAAAGAATATTTATTGGAGGACATGAAATTTATTCTTGGGGAACAATATGTACCTTTTCAGTTCCATATGGAAGTTTCATTAAACAATGTGGATCTTTGAAATTGCTGCACTATTTTGTCTTGATATATAGACCAGTAAGTCCCTTTCATTTTTTTCACATTAGAATTTTACCACTTATAAACTAATAGGGTTGACCTAGTTGAGGGACTCTTAAACTGTTTGTGAAAGATTTAAAAAATAAGTCATGACAGACTCACAGCTCAGATATATTTGGTCAGACTCTCCACATATTTTCTGGGAATCTCAGTTTTAAGAAACTCCTAGGAGATTCATATATAGCTATCCCAATCTTAGTTTGGAAATCCCTGTACTAAATCAATGATTCATAAACTTTCATTAGTATCATGAGGTTCCATATAATAGTCAGAAAAACTGGGAACTAAATGACACTGACGTTCTCTGAAAGCCCATTCTGGATGAGGCCTTATTGAGACTGTTATTTTCCTTCATGCTAGGATGTGTTGCACATCAGTCTGGGACATCCCTAGGATAGTGGCATCTGCCAAGCACTGTTTTCCTGAAGGCATCCTTCACCTCCTTGTTTCTCAGGCAGTAGATGGCTGGGTTAAGGAATGGTACAATGATGGTGTAGAGTACAGAAATAATTTTGTTGTGGTTGAAGCTATACATGGCCCGAGGTCGTGCATAGGTGAAGAGAGTGGAGGAATAGTAGATAACAACCACTGCCAAGTGGGAGGTACAGGTGGAAAAGGCTTTGTGGCGTCCCTGGGCAGTAGGGATCCTTAGGATGGCTGTAATGATGGCAGCATATGATGAAACCACAGCCACTAGAGGGAACAGAATCATTACGAGAGCCAGAAGGAAGTCAACTAGCTCTGCCTGCTCCTTGTCAGAGCAGGTAAGATTGAGTAGTGGGGAGATATCACAGAAGAAGTGGTTGATGATGTTGGATCCACAGTATGACAGTCTGGAAATGAAAAGAAGTTTCATCATGGAGCTGAAGAAACCACTGCCCCAAGAAGCAGCAGCAAGGCGAGTGGCTAGACTGTGAGACATAAGACTAGGATAATGGAGGGGTTCACAGATGGCCAGGTAACGGTCATAAGCCATAACTGCCAACAAGACACATTCAATGCAGGCTAAGGCAATGAAGAAGTAGAGTTGAGTCATGCAACCTACATAGGAGACTCTACCATCCTGGGTAAGAAAGGCTCCCAAGAGCCGGGGAATGGTAACATTGATGTACCACAGCTCCAGGAAAGAGAGATGGCCAAGGAAGAAGTACATGGGTCGATTAAGGCTTGGAGTTAGCCAGATGGTAGAAATGATGAGTGCATTCTCCAACAATGTTAACACATAAATTGCAAAAAAGAAGACAAAGAGGAGCAGCTGGAGGGGTGGAGAGGTAGGGAAACCCACCAAGACAAACTCTTCAACATGGACACCACTCAAATTTCTCATGGTCCGTGTCACTTGAGTGCCTGAAAATGTAACAGGAAGACAAAAGGCTGAAAGACAGGTGGATCAAACCTCTAATATCTCCTCTCAGATTATAACTTCTGCAGATGTTCAATGGTACAGTTTATTACCAATTGCTATTACATCATTTTCCCCTCACTTTGCTGCTTTATCTCCCATTTCAAGAGAAAAGTTTACAGATTTCAGGGTTATACTCAATAACTAATAACCTTCTAGTAGGTTTTTGATGAGTGCTTACCAAGTGATTTCAGAACCAGCCTTGGTATTTTGATTCTTGGTTTTTATTTTTTTTAATCCATGATATGTTGTTCTTTCAGTAACACCTACAAATTCATAAGCTCCATATATTTTCACTCAATATTTGTTGAATGAGTGAAATAATAAAAAAGGAGTGAAAGCAAGCTAGGATCTGGGATCTTATCTCTGAATGAAAATTGACTAAGAGAAGTTTTAGTTCAAAGAGTTTCCTTGAGCTATAGTGTAAGACAGCATGTTAGGACTAAAGTTGGCTTGAAAAGTGTTCATTCACAACTGGAGAAACAATTCATCATGGAAGAGATAAGGGAACTTTGCTCCAGAAAGGTATGATTTTTCCCATTCATTTAACAAGTGTTTTTGAGTACATTCTTCATTCCAAAGTCAGAACTATCTCATTTTCAGGGTTGGATTAATAGGTCAAAAAAAATGGCTGCCCACGTCAGGCTGAATGGTGACACCTATAGTCCCAGCTACTCAGGAACCTGAAGCAAAAGGACAGCAGTTCAGGTTCAGCCTGGGCAATATAGTGAGACCCAGTCTCAAAGAGGAAAAGGTCTCTGTAAAAGATGCACATGTTCTAATCCCTGGAACCTGTGAATGTCACAAACACTTTGTAAAGACTTTTCTGATGTGATTAAATTAAGAATTTTCAAGTGGGGAGATCATCCTGGATCAAGGAGGTCATCCTAAAAAGCACTTACAAGAATCTTTAAAAAAGAAAGCTAAAAGGAAATTTGAAACAGACATATAGAGGAAAAGGTAATATGAAGAAAGACCAAAGAAATATTTTTGAAAATGATGTTGGCCTTGAAGTCAAGAATGATTTAGTCACAAAATAAGGAACGCCCACAACTAGCAGAAACCAGAAGAGACAAGCAATAAATTCTCCCCTAGAGGTTCCAGAGAGAGCTTGGCCATCCCAGAACCTTGAATTCAGTCACATTATTTCAGATATCTAGATTGCAGACTGTGAGAGAGTAAATCTTTGTTGTTTTAAGCCACCAAAATTGTGGTAATTTGTTATAGCCACCACAGGAAATTGGCAAACCTGCAAAGTAAACAAGGCAGTCATCTTCTCCCTAACCATCCTGCTTGGCCTCTCTAGTCTCCTATCAATATTATCAGTGACCTGACCTCCAGAGAGCTACTGGTAAAATTGCAAACTGACTTGTGGTAGGGTCACAAATGAATACCATCAAGTATTTCTATATTTGGTTGGACTTAAACACTTCACTTATTTTTTCTCTTTAAGAAGCTTAAAAGACTGATGTACTAGCTCAGACATTTAAATAGTTAAAGAGACTAATTCCACTGCATTGAGAGCATGGGCCTTTTAAATAAAACTACTATATCACCTTTTTATATATACAGTAGAATATAAATGTTGAAGCTATATATCTATTAATACTTGTTTAATTATTATGTAAATGAGTGTCTTTAAAAAATGGGCCCTTTTACACCATTTATCTCACTAAACTCATAATTCATGGGTATTGTATTTTTATAATTGCTTATCTTTTTATGGTTTTCACTATATCTGTCTTCATGTTTTTGTTTCTGTACTTTTTAAATTACAACTGCTTTTATATAAAAGATTTTCCTGTAGATAATATATAATTAGCATATATTTAACCAAAACAATATAAGTACATGACAAATTTTGAAAAAATATATTAGATGCAATATCTAAAACTTACTGTGAAACAATCTTCTAAAATGTGGGTTGCACTGTTTTCTCAATTCTTATGGTCTTTCATGACTGCATATTACCACAAATGAGAAAGATGTCAGCATCAATTACATGTTTACTTTTCATTTTGGAGATATAAACACTGAGAAAACTAGTTCATATAATTATGTGACAATGATGTACCATAGCTCTGGGAATGAAAGTTGTTTTGTTATAGCAATAACAGTAAATTATTTGAACTTTTTATTGGTTATGTACAGAAATTATACAGTAATATATCGTTAAAATTATTTATATTGATCTATTAGTTGACAGCTCGATTAGCTATTTCAATTGTGTGAAAAGAAAAAATGAGAATCGCTGCCTTGAAAAAAGATTGTTACCTAGTTATCTGTCCTTCACTCTCTCAGCATTGACATCGATAGTGTCACCAATATGCACTTGGGGGCATCTCCACACAGAAAGATTCAGTTATGCCTTTCCTTTTAAAGAGGGAGAAATGGTTTTGAAAAGGCAAGTAGGAAGGAAAAGAACACTTTCTCCAGCAAGTCAGTTTTAAAAGAGGAGCTCAAAAGGCAGTTGAAAATAAGGCAATAATTTAGATCAGGGAATAATTCCTTTGGAGCTGTTTATGCCTGAGCCTTAGAAAAGAAATTTTATACCCATAAACCTCAGTTTGGAAAACAGTGACTTCATAGGTCAAGCACTTTTCTGAGAGAGTTCGGAGAGGAGGTCTGGGTGTTGAGGATAGTGCCTCTGGGGTTCGCACTACAGAGGATGGGGAAATCTTGAAAATGATGTCTGGAGTCTCCCAAGAGCCAAAGAAAGGGAATTCAGATGCTGAAGAATCCTGAGCAATGACAGAAGGTCTGCAAAGCACTTGTCTTCAGCCCTCTCTTTTCAGTGAACAGAGCAGTGCCTAGAAAACAGAAAGTTCTCTGTAAATATTATTGGAGGGACTTTCAGTCTAGTTTATTTTTATCTGCTTCATCCAGATATCTGTTTTGTCAGTTTAAAAAAAATCGAAGTAAGTGCAAACTGGAATTCTTTCTCAGTTGCAGCACTACATGAAATTTGGTTGCAATCCCACTTGTCCCGTAGTCAACCCTAAAAGACAGAGGACAGCGACTGTTGGAAAGCGGTATGGAGAATGGGAAGCATCCTAGAAACCCATGGTTGGCTTCACAATTTTTTAAATTTATTTTTTTAGTTATCATATTATTATTGTGTTGGGGGTACCTTGTAACATTTACAAAAGTTCTTACAATATATCATCGTTGAATTCACCCCCTCCATCATTCTCTTTTTTTTCTTCCCCCTACCCGTTCCTGGAATAGTTTCAACAAGTCTCATTTTTCCATTGTCATACATGAGGACGTAATATTTCCACTACACTCACCCTCCTACACCCTTTCTATGGCTTCCGCATTTGAAGCCAGTCTTTCTCTGTAGTCCACTATGGCTCAAATTATTTGTTGATGTAAAGGCAAACCTGAAAGTAGGGCTCTTTATGCCCAGAGATACCCATAGCCCTAATTCGTGTCCACTCTTCAGTAATACTTTACGTCATCTTCGTGAATTTTCAGGCCAGTTGTTGAACACAGAATCCTATTTGCTATTCATACTGACTTGCTATTGCCAAAGACTTTCTTCTCTAGCCAAGGCAACTCTGACTCTTAACTTCTGTCAGATATTGTTTCTCCCTTTTTCTACACCCTGCTTCTCCTTTTGGAGGAGGCTCACCTATATGAACTATTTGTGAATCACAATATTCATTTCCATCTTACAGCTCTGAGTATAGTAGTACTTCATGTTTTATTGATTTTTTTCCCTATTTGCTCTAACTTTTGGGCTTTGTTTTTTCTCCCTTATTAGTATGGAAACCACTGTCCCCCTATTTGCCATTCAAGATTTTCATGATATCAGGATGACATTCTACTATTAGGGAAACTCAGGACAGATGAGCCTGAAATTTTAACATTGACAATAATAATCTCTTTAAAATCACTTTATTTAGTTGGAAACTTAAGTTCCAAATTAATGGGAGGATCTTTAGGACTTGTCTCACTTCATTTCCTCTCCAAATCAAAAAAAGCTCTTTTTGCATAGGTCTTCTCAGGACTAATGGGTATTGATAGTATTGTACAATTCATAGCTTACTTGCCTTTGGGTGCTCCCTTTCATAGTCAACTCCCCTTATTCCTACTTGTCCATCACTCTTATTTAAACTTCCAGTCAACTTAGAGTTCCTCCAGGTGCTGCTGTTTTCTAGGTTCTTCTGTTCATGAATAAACATCAGTATGTCCGGGCAGACTTTCTACTGGGTTCCTCACATCTACTACTGTGACTTCTAACACACATATGGGGTAAGTAGGTATTCACATGGAATTTTCCTCCTCAAGAAATTCTCATTCCTAAAAGTATGTTATCAATTTTCTTAGTGTGGATTGAGATATCTTTTACTTAAATACAATTTCAACTAGTATTTAACTCTCAGAATGCTTGTAATTTTTAACTTCTGATAATACAAGAATTAGATTATGTTCAGATATCATTGGTTCCTGTTTATATATGACAAAATGATGCAAAAATTTTGTTAAAATATTTTGCTGTTCTAATAATCAACAAATAAATCAAAACAACTAAATTGTCTGTACATTTTTATTAAATGTGATTTTGATTACATTTCCACAAAATTCAAATAAATTCATATTTGATTCTCATTTATAAAAAAGAGATTCTCATTCCTGTCTCTGCCCTACTTAAAATCAGTGCTTTGTGTATGATCTACAACCAATATGTATTTATCAAATGTGTTAAATAAAGTAATAACTTTGGAGCTTGGGAATTTAATGTTTCTTCTCTATATCAAGAATAGAAGGCCATTCATGTTTTACTATCTTTCAAATAGTGTTGTTGCTACTGGTAGTAGTGATGTCTGTTATTCCTACATCATTAGACTATGTGATAATCAAAGAAACAATTTAATTGAGGATAATTTTCTCAGAGAATGAAACAATATGTTATTTTAAAA